AAAAAAAAAAAAAAAAAAAAAAAAAAAAAAAAAAAAAAAAAAAGCTAACAGAAAGTAACTTTATTTTTAAATGCCAAGTTGTCAGGGTGGCTCGCTGGTGTCACGTGACTTCCCCAACCCCAACCCCACCCCCACACCTGGGCCAGCTGGAGGCCACTGCCCACATGGTCTTCCAGCTGCTCCAAAACAGCCAAGCCTCCCTGCCCTCTTAGCCCCAGGAAACGCGCTTGCTCGCCACTGTGGAGGCTTCTAGCTTGTCCAATGCTTTAATCCTCCGGACACTGAGCAGTAGCAAAGAATTTTTCAGAAGGATCAGGAGAGTCCTTTTCAAGAGGGTGTCACTGTGGTAGCTCTGGACTGGGAACCTAGCTCGCCAACCGAAATGCTGCCTCTCCGCTAACTGGCTACCTGCCTGGGCTTCCACATCTGTGCCATGGGGGCACTAGAATGACCTGAGACTCCCAAGCTCTCACAGACATCAGAAGCCACTCCAAGCTGGGACAGCTGCACTTGAGGTGTAACTCACCTCCCAGGCCCTGCTTCCTGGAGCCTCCGCCAAGCCCCAGGCTTCCTGATGGGCGAGCCATGGGCACAAGGGACCTTTAAGAGGCTGTGTGGTTTTCCTGGGGAGCAGACTATTGGGGGGGGGGAGTCTCTTTGAACTCGCACAGAGGCTTCATCTGTGTCCCCAGCTGAGGGGGAACAGGCTGACCAGTCCAAGGACATTCTATCTTGCCTCTGGATTTTTCCATGACCTTTTCAGAGCCGTTCACTTAATCACAAATAACCCGTCAGCAGTAGAGCTAGCTGTGTTGTACCCACAGGAGGCTGTGGGAAAATACAGGGACAGTTTAGGGCAGTGGTTCTCAACCTGTGGGTTGCAAACCCTTTGGGGATCGAGCCACCCTTCCACATGGGGTCACATATTAGATATCCTGCCATCAGATGTTTACATTATGATTCTTAACAGTAGCAAAATTACAATTATGGATTAACAACAAAAACAGATTTTTATGGCCACAGTCACCACAACGTAAGGAACTGTATTAAAGGGTTGAAACATTAAGAAAGTTGAGAACCACTTGTTTAGACTCTCTGCCATCCAGTCTTGATGATCCTCGGCCTTCTCAGTTAGTAAAGCAGACAGTACAGCGTTGACAACTTTGGAAGCCTGTCCACTCTCTGGGGAAGGGGGCTCAGAGCCACCTCTGTTCACAGTCCTTGACCCAGGGCCCCTAAGGGATCCATAGCAGAGCATGCACTAGTGGAGGACATCCTTCATGTCACTTCATACTGTCCTTACAGAGCCATCAGTCAGGCATGGTTGACACACTTGCAGATTTCAGCTGGAGGTTGAGAGTTCACACACAGCCAGAGTTCAAACTCAACCCTGAGTCCTGCCTTTTTTTTTTTTTTTAACCACCATTGTTGCCATCCTCAGGAGCAAGGTTAGTCCTAGAGGATTAGGATGCACTGTCTAGTTCTGTGTGACCTCTTTCTTAAGACACTTAGCTGACTAAGTCATGTGACCAGGCTTGGGCCCAGTCATCATACCAAACAAGGAACCCAGGTCAATGAAACCCAAGACTTTGACAATCTTACACCCTGAAATCATCCCTTCCTTACCCAGGTGTAGTGAGTTGTATAACGAGAGATTCTTGGTCCTGGCTGGTCCCTCTGCCCTTCAGCCCCAAATGAACACTCGGACGCTATATTAATTATAAAACTGTTGGCTGGTGGCTTGGGCTTCTTATTGGCTAGTTCTGTCTTAATTATTAACCTATTTCTATTAATCTATCTATTTCCACAGGGTCTTGGGTTACTGGAAACCTGTTACTCCTTTGGCAGCCTACATGGTGACCTCTCTGCCTACATTTCCCAGAATTCTCCTCATCTCCTAGCCCTGCCTATATATACTTCCTGCCTGGCCAATCAGCCAATCAGTGTTTTATTCATCAACCAATAAAAGAAACATATACAGAAGGACATCTCTCATCAGAGTTGTACATGCCTCTAATAGCAGTGCCTGAGACTGGGAGATTGCAAGCTTGAAGCCAATCTGGGCTACACAGTAAAAGTCTGTCTCAGAGACAGGGGTTGGGGAACCATCTCTTCCGCAGGCCAAGGCAGTTTTTACAGAGACATCCTGCATGGACTAGAGTTCCATACTCTTAAGTATAAGTCAAGGCAAACTGAGAAAGAGACTTGATCATTCAACTGAAGGAAACATTTATTTTAGTATACTTAGAAATGGATGATTAAGGGGCTGGAGAGATGGCTCAGAGGTTAAGAGCACTGGCTGCTCTTCCAGAGGTCCTGAGTTCAATTCCCAGCAACCACATGGTGGCTCACAACCATCCGTTATGAGATCTGGTGCCTTCTTCTGGCCTGCAGGCAGAACACTGTAGTATATATAATCAATAAACAAATCTTTAAAAAAGAAAAGAAATGGATGATTAAGTCACAAGGGAAGGCTAGCAGGTTTGAGTACAAAGTAATGCAAAGTTTCTGTACTTAAAAAATGATAGAGTGTTTGCCTAGTGCACAAAGTCCTGGATTAGAGACCCGGGATTACACAAACTGAGCCTGGTGGTGCATACCTATATCTCAATATCTCAGCACTCAGGACATGGAGGCAGAAGGATCAGAAGAGGTCAAGGTCTTTCTCAGCTACTTATAGAATTTGAGTCCAACCTGGGCTACATGAGATCCTGTCAAAACAAAACAAGCAAAGAATGAAAAAGGGCAAAATATTTAGAACATTTAAAGTAGAACATATGTGTGTATGTATACACACACACACACACACACACACGTTTGTATTCTATCTCTTTCCTTAAAAGTTTTCAGATAGGAATATTATATCAGGAGTTTATGCTAACTGACAATAATGAACCAAAAAGCTTACTTATAAATGGGGACAAAGATGATGAAGCAATTTACATAAAACAAATTACAATTTGTAGACAGATTCGCAGGAACACGCCCCAGCTTGCTAATCACCAACAAAATACAAAGCTAAATAGAAAGAAGTGTTTGAACTGATACTCAAGGACTCAGGAAAGCATGGTGAAATAGGCAGCTCAGTGTGTTGCCAGCTTCTTGCAATGCTCAAGGAAAATAATATGGTGACAGAGATTGCAGACTATAAAAATGTTTGTTCTCATCCACAGTAATTCTACCCCCTGGAAATTTTGGCAAGGGTTCAAAAATGTGGAAAGGCACACACAAACCCTCTGCAGTATTACTTTAAAAAAATGAAGTTGAGTGGGCAGACATGCCCTAAAGCAGACAAGTGGTTAACTGTATTTGCCCTTGACACTGAATGGAATGCAAAGCAACATTTAAAGTAGAAGCTGACGAGAAAGGAAGGAAGGAAGGAAGGAAGGAAGGAAGGAAGGAAGGAAGAAGGAAAGAAAGGAGAAAAGATAAAGAAAAGAAAAGAGAAAGAAAGGAAGGAAGGAAGGAAGGAAGGAAGGAAGGAAGAGAGCAAGAAAGAAGAAAGAGAAAAGAAAGTCAGGGGTTGGTAGTGCAACGCCTTTAATCCCAGCACTCGGGAGGCAGAGGCAGGCAGATCTCTGTGAGTTCGAGATTCAAGGACAGGCTCCAAAGCAATACAGAGAAAACGTGGTCTCACAAATGATGGAACCCAGAGATGACAATATAAAATTAATAGGTGTGAAAATGAGAGAGAGAGAGAGAGAGAGAGAGAGAGAGAGAGAGAGAGAGAGAAGAAAAATGAAGAAAGAGAGAGAAAAGAAAGAAAGAGAGACACAGAGAGAGAGGGAAAGAAAAGAGAAAGGAGAAATGCCCATGACAAAATGTAACTTGAAGAAGCAGGGTATAGGGCTGGGGAGAGGGCTCAGTGGTTAAGAGCTCTGGCTGTTCTTTCAGAGGTCCTGAGTTTGGTTTCTGGTGCACATAACCACCTGTAACTCCAGCTCCAGAGGATCTGTTGCTTCTTCTGGTCTCCATGGGTACCTGTGCTCGAGGATACAAACAAACTCACACCCACACACGTTTGTATTAAAGCAGCGGCTGTATAACTGTGGGATTTGTAATATATAATTCTAATGACACATTTCTGTTTGAGTTTTTATACGTTTTTTTTTGTTATAAAAGTGTACAATGTAATATTCCAACCAGCTTGTGACAGTTTGCTCCAGGAAAATCAACTACATTGAAGGTTGTGTGTCTATCACATGATAGGCAGATTTATCTATGCTCTGAATTTTTTTCATCATCCCTCTTCTGAACTGTATGCCCATTAAATAATAACTCTCCCTTTCCCATCTCCCACCCTCTGGTAGCATCTATTCTACTCTCTGTCTGTAGCTCAATTGACCTCAGTGCCTTGCCTGAATGGAATTACGCAGTATTTTTACCTCTGTTTCCATTTTATTTCAGGTCCATCCATGTTGCAGTATATATCAAAATTCTATTTCCTTCTGTGACTCAATGACATTCAGCCAGGTATACATATAGCATCTTTATCATTTTTCTAGTGATAGGCAGTTGGGTTTTTCCACCTTTGTGTCTTGTGAATGCTGCTGTGGACACTGATTTGCAACTGGCTGTCAGCTCTGGTGTTCCTGCCTCTCATTCTTGGTTATATATACCTGGGAGGGGAGTGGGTGGATCGTTGTGTGTTTAATGCTTCGGGGAGCCAGGCAGCCATTTCTCCCAGCAGTTATACCAGGCTACCTTCCCAGCAGCAGTGCTTATTTATCATTTGTTATTTTCCGGTTCCATTTTTTTTTTTTATTGCCTTCCTACTGGATGCAAAGTGGTAGCTCCCTGTGCTTTTGATATGCATTTCCCTTGTTCCCTGTGAAGCCAAGTGCTTTTTCACATGTTGATGGGTCAACTATATACTCTCTTTGGAAAAAAATAACTACTCAAGTCCTTTGTTTTGCTTTTCCTTTCTTTTTAAGTTTTTCTGCTGTGTGTGTGTGATACAAAAGTCAGAAAAGAACTCTTAGGAGATTAGATTGTCAGGCCTGTGTGCAGGCCTCTACTGACTGAGCTATGTAGATTCCTCCTCCTCCTCCTCCTCCTCCTCCTCCTCCTCCTTCTCCTCTTTCTCCTTCTCCTTCTATTACTCCTATACTAGTACTACACACGCACACACACAGGGTTTCCCTCTGCAGCCCAGGCTGGCCTTCACCTCTGGATCCTCCTGCTTCTGTCTCCTAACTATTAGGATTAGTGGCAAGCCAAGAGGTCCAGAGTCAGGGTCTCCTTCTCAGCTGTCATACTTACTGCCCCTTTACAAGCCAAGTGATTTTCCCAGTCCCCACCTCCAGCCCCTGAAGCTATTGGCTCCTGGTATTTAACAAGTTCACTTCTGTATGCTCAGGACTTCACCGTGTGCTCCTGTAAACCACTTTTATACCCTTCTGCTTGCATTCCCATCCCACTCTGTTAGCCTCTTTGACCCAGAATTCTCCTTCCTAGGATAGTGGCAGTCACAACCATTACGTAGGTATGTAGTGGCTCAGGGTACCCAGCCTTCTGTGTGTCCTGTGAAAACACATTTAGACTGACGAGGCAGAGCAGACTCACAGCCCTGGAGCCTCTTACCTCATCTTTCCTGTGTACACGGAAGGTTATTCCAGAGCTGAGAAGAGGGACTCTATGAGAGCTAGGCTGTTTCTCAAGCCATCTGGACTCTCAGATCAGCCAGGTCCTACAAGCCAATCCCACTATTTTTAACAGGAAAACCAAGGGACAGATAGGTGAGGATGGGAGCCCAAAGCCACACCATTTGCCTTTCTTTCCTCAGCTTCTCTCTGCCTGGAAGTCCTGTCCTGCAGCTATAACACCCAGCAGGCCAGCATCTCACATATGACCACAATTACCGTGCGCTGGGCCTGAGCCCAGCCACTCTGCAAGCACGTCCAGGCTTGGTCACCAGCCAAGTTTCCATCTCGTTAGAAAAATGAAAAGGTTAAAGGGGCTACGTGTTAATCCCAAACACAAGCAAGAGGGAAAGGGCCAGCCGCAATCTCCCAAGGCAGCCGCCGTCCACCAAGAACTCTCTAGATCTCTCCAGCAGGCAGACCAGCCCTGGCCAACTGGGAATAGGCTGGTTTTTTGGCAATAAACCTGCCTCTGTGGCCCAAGACAGAACTCAGCTGGTGATACTTAGCTGGTGGTCCCAAAACAGTCCCTTTGTCTCAGGTGACCCCTGCGTTGGGCTGTTTCACTGTGTGTGTGTGTGTGTGTGTGTGTGTGTGTGTGTGTGTGTTTCTCCCCATCTTCTACCACAGAGGAAGAAAATAAGACACCGAGTTCAAGGGACTGGCCATGGGGCCAGGTGGCCACTGAGCGTGTAAAGGTGGTCTAGAACTAGTAAACAGTTGCTCTACTGACACGTTTTATCCATGTGAGACAGCCTGGACCCTGCCTGCCACTCTTGTGCCACATATGATGCCAGTGTCTGATGAGGCATCTGGCTACCTCTGTACCACACCTGGACACAAGGTCATGGTAGGGCTCCATATTCCACACTGGCTGCCCTTTGGTGTCAAGATCTCAGGTCCTGAGGCTTCCAGTCTGTTCTCTCTCTAGACTAAGACTCCCTCTTTTCTCCCAATATGCCTCTCTCAGATGCCCTGTCTTCAAGCGGTGCCTACAGTAGCATCATGCAAACTAGCCTTTGTGGGTTATATAGTCAAATGGGTTTTGGGAGAGCCACCGTCTTCTGTCTTGGGGCAAAGAAGTTAACATTCTACTAAAATTACAACCTGATGGCCAAAAAATCCTATAGATGACAGCAGCCATCAATAATTATCAAGTGTCCGATGAGGAGAATTGTGCCTCCCCCTCTCCACAGGAGCAAAGACCTTTTGATGCTGATAGCATCACCACACAGTACAATTCCTCAGAAGATGAGGTCTGTATAAGATAAATGTGCTTATTTACCCTAGCTTCTAGCCTGGCTGAGGCAGGCCCAGGGCCTGCAGCCAGGCATCTGAGCCACAGGGTGATCTCGCAGTGCAGCCTCTTGCCGACTTGGGGATTCACAGGCTTCCGGGACAGGCCAAGCAGTCTTAGTTTTGAGGCCAGCTGCTGGAGCCAGGAGGTTGGCCAAGGTTTCCTCAGAGGCCTTGCAAGCAGTTGGGCCCTTGGGGAAATGTCTTTGAAACACAGGGGTGTTATCTCATCTCCAGTCTTCAGTCAAAGACAAGCAAAGCCTTTTCCTGACCAAGAAGGAGCTGGGAACTCTGGGGGTGGGAGGCAACTGGAAACAAAGCCTTATTCTCGAAAGGTCATCTCTCCCCCAACTTTTTTTTAAACCTTCAAAAGACCCAAATGATCACTTTGTATTTAAGCCAATCTTGATTTTTTTTAAAGAACTGAAGAAAGGGGAAAAAATTGTTTTCCTAGGTCTAATTGCAAAAGCCATGGTCTGGAAAGACAGAGAAAACATCTGTCTCTGGCTGGGCCCCTTCTAGGTGCACACCTGAGTCCATGAGGAGAGGTTGATCTTCGAACACTCAGCTTGGAGAAACTGTCAGAGCCCTGACTATCTTGAGACACTCCCCACCTGGGGCCTAGCTACTTTCCCATTGCTAGGGTGGAAGCCCTTTTCTTCTTGTTAGTCCTCGTGGGAACTGAAAAGCAGCCAAGATCCTGAAAGAGCCAGTGATCTGTGTCTCTCTGGAATCTTAGAGAAGGGCAGTGGGGGGCTGGGGGCTTGTGGGGAGCAGCCAGAACTCTCTCACCCCAGAACACCCAGGAGTGCTGACTCAATTGCCTGCTGGGAGGGGTGTTCCAGTGGGTCTTGTCCCAACCAAGAGAAACCCTGTCCCTCCATCTCCTATTTAAATGCTGGTAGACAAGAAGAGTATCATTCTCTTTCCCTACCCTCAGCCCCCACCCCCAATCATAACTACTAATCTCCGAAATTCCCTGAGCTGAGGCTGAGATGGCTGAGTGGGAAGCCAGGGAACAGCCTGCAGCAGGCATGGCTAGTCTCCAAGAACCCCTCTGACTCTGACCAGCTGCAGGCTGTGAAGCCAGACCCTGGCGGAGCCCCATCCCCTGCTGTAAACTTATTGCATTCTGGACTCTGAGTAGTCCTGGCTGCTCAATATGACATTTTTTTAAAACACTGAAGCCAGAGATAAGGAACAGACAAGGGGAGAAGGCTAGGGAACTTGGGAACCAAATCTGGGGCCAGGGAGAAAAGTCAGCTCAATAGACAGACACCTAAACCTACTGGAACACACGGACACATGCTGATGTGTATGCAGAGACCTTGCTTTACACTGCACAGTGGGGTTCAGGATAGTCTGACTCACAGGCCCAGTCACTAGTTCACTGGTCAGAAACTCTGAGGCTACCCCCAACACTTTCCCAGAAAGGAAGACAAGCAGAGCTAACACCATCACTAGGGTTCACACTGCTGTGTGCTCCCATGTAGCCTCAAAGCACTTGGTTAATAAAGAATGACCCGCTGTCCAACTCCTGCAGTGAGCTAAAGTGTTAGCCAGGACTGGCTCTCCAGGAATGGAATCTCAGAAACAGAGAGAACAACCAGGTGTCCCTCAGAGTAAGTGCGAGAACTTGAATAGATACAGGCAGCTCGGGAAGGGGAGCTATGCCTGTCTGAGGTGTTATTGGGAAAGCCACTAGACATAACAGCAGGCACAACTCTTATACTGAGAAAAGGAACGCTCTTCAGACAGGGGCTCTGGAGAGTGGTTTTTAGGTCACCTTTGTGGTCTCTTAGATCTTGGAAGACTTATCATATCAGATTGGTCTATAACACTCTGTATATGAAGCCCCCCTTAAAAGCAGGTAGGATCCCCCATCAGGACTCTAGCCCTGGAACTCCCAACCCTGAAGACATGCAGGCCCTTCCAGAATGGCAAGCTTTCAGGGAGACCTCCTCCTGTTTACATATTCTGTGACCGACCTTCAGTCCCCTCTCAGCCTGGATAGACAGAGAAAAATACAGCAACCAGCTGCCACCCTGCTCAACCAAACTACTATCCCCAGGCAGAAACCTTGAGTAGAATCCTAGTTCTAGCCAAGGAAAACATGAAGCCAGGTGGCTTCTCTCTTTCCCACTTTTCACTCCATCCCACTGACTCTGGAGACAATGGAAAGGTCTGGATGCCAGTTCAAAAGGGACACAGACAGATTATTGGGGGGTGTGGGATTTATTGGAAGAGATTAGCAGACACAAGCAGGGCCCCAGCACCAGAGACAAAGACATCATAGCAGAGGCTCTGAAGTGTGGAAATCAGGGCCTATGTGGCAGGAGCAGGAACTTTTTTTCATATCTTTCTGAGGATTG